TTCCCCCCCCCCCCCCACATCATATCTCAAATCTTTATTTCATAAAATGTTCCCCTTTTCTTAAGACAAGTTTCACTAAGTTATATTAAACATTTTATCACACTTTAAATTACACATTATTTCCAACTTTCTAAAATTATTTCTAAATACAAATATAAAAAACAATCTTATGTACCTCTAGAATCCCTTTATCAATAAAGCTTACCCATTATCTCTAAAAAACTTTTGTTTCTTTACATCTTGCTCTCTACTATTGAGGCTTCTCGTCACCTTTCTCCCTTGCTTATTCTTCTCTCTGTCCTCTTTACCCCTTTGCCTCTCCACCTCCCTTTTTCTCTGCTTTCCTCCTTTCTGTTGTCTTCTAACATAATATCTCTTTTTCATCTTATTTTTCTCTTTTTTGATTGCTTTTATAGATCTTAAAGTCTCTTTTTCCTTTTTCTCTTTCTCCTTTCCTTCCCCAGCCAAAGTCACTTGTTCATCAAAAATGGCATCTTCTTTGTCCCAGTCGTCCTGTTGTCCATTCAATTTTACATAAGTGTAGACCACCATTTCTAAATACTGAAAAAGAGTATCAAAAACATCCTTCCCTTCTTGCTTTTCTTTCTCATATTTTTGATATAAAAGTTTCAATCTGTCCACAAGTAATGCCATTATAAAGAGAAAAAGTTTTCCCAAGCAACCACCCAAGTGCTTTTAATCAGAGATAATTCTCAAAAGTGGTAAAATCACCAAGCAATCCAAGTAGGTTAATTCTTTTAAGCACTTTCTCCTTCACTTTCTCTTTCTGGGATTGGAGTTTGATCACAAAGTTCCATTTAATATATATCTTTCAGAAGCCTTGTTAGTATTTATAGCTCTTTAAAAATCCAGGCAGTCTTCTCCTTATTTTCAAATTCTAATCCAATTTTTCCCTCTCCCTTCCCACTCACAGCAAAAAAAATTTTTTAAAGTCTTTTTTAAAAAAAGGATTCAGAAATCCTTATCTCTTCAGTATTTAATTACCTAGATTTTCAGATTTCTCTTGTTATTCCATCCGCTGTCACGTTAGGAAGGAGAGTGAAGAAAAAAAAAAACTTTCCCTTTTATAATTCTGTGCGCCGCTTGTAACTCTCTCTGGAAACAATGTAGCAACTTCTCCGTAGCAATTTTCAAGCCCCAGGAAACTTTCTTATCCCTTGGCAACTTTATCCCGGTCCAGAAACAACTCTCACAATTTCTCCGATTTTCTTCCTCCTGCACAATCTTATCCGTTTGCAGGTTTCTTCATGGCGGCCATTGCTGACCGCCGCTCCTCCGCCTCGGGAAAAGGGGGTTTTGCTGGCTGGGGAGGGGGTCTGCGACACCCCTTGCCCCCTTTCCAGATCCCCCCTGTCTTCAGCTGCCCCTGCAGGGCAGCTATATCCCCCAGATCCAAACGGATCGGGGGAACCTTGGCAGTGAGCTCGGCAGGGATCGCGCTAGATTGCAAATCCCTGCCGCTGCCGAAGCCTCGCAAACCGGAAGCCAACACAGCCATTTTTTTTAACATTCTCAAAACTCAACCTTCTTGAAATTAACCATTCCCACTGGCTGGTGTGCAATGAAATAGGTCACATTAGACCAGGGTTTCAGAAGAGTTGGTTCAGTCAAGTTGCCTGAGTAAGAGGATGCAGGCATGGATGAGTTCTGGGTCTGAGTTCTGTCAGTCAGACTATTTCAGAAGCACTGTAACCCAAAATAGCCAGTCTGACAGATTGCAGTATAGGTACAGAGGAAGGATGTAAGGTGAAATAGGAGACAGCTCTCCTGATGCTCCTGCTTGGTGCACCCTATGACCCAGCAGTCAGGCTATTTCTAAGTACAGGTCTACCAAAAGAGACCTTTCAAAAGAGTACTGGTAGTAGATCTCAGTTGAGAAGTAGCCCGGTTGACAGATAAATAAAGTTATAAATAGTAGCCAGCACGGGTTGATTAAAACAGATTATGCCAAATCAATCTTATTTCATTCTTTGACATAGTGACTAAATTAGTAGACCAGTGAAATGCTGTGGAGATAGTATATTTAGACTTCAACAAGCCATTTGAGAAAGTAGACTACAACCTACTTCTTGGTAAGCTAGAAAAATGTGGGATAGACAGCATCACCACCATATATATTTGTAACTGGTTGACAAACCGTACTCAACAAGTAGTCCTTAATGGTACTACATCTACATGGAGGGAAGTAAGCAGTGGGATACCACAAGGTTCTGTCTTGGGTCCAGTACTCTTCAATATCTTAATAAATGACTTAGATGATGGTATAGAAGGGGAACTAATCAAATTTGCAGGTGACACTAAACTGGCAGGAATAGCCAACACTTCAGAAGACAAGCTCAGGATCCAAAAAGATCTTGATAGACTTGAACAATGGGCCCTATCCAACAAAATGAAATTCTATGTGGAAAAAAGCAAGGCTTTACACTTGCGCAGGAAAAACCAAAGATACAAGTACAGATTAGGTGAAAAACAGTAACCATGAG